TTTTAATTCAGCAGCTCTGCAGAGAAAGATTTGACAGTCTGCTGTTGTAACGATTCCAACCTAGGAAACCCTATGGAGCAGTTCTACTTTGTCACATGGGTTTGCTATGAGTCATAATTGACTTGATGGCACCTGGCAACAACATGATAAAGTATTTAAAAGTCAATTATAGTATTTGTCTTGTAACAAAGATTAATACAAATTTTAGCTCCTTTTTAATAATCTTCTGGTAAGTTAGGATAACTTAGTTTCTCTTTTGTTATGAACTATGCTTTCTTGGAGTAAATAAACTTTTTGTTTGTTTGATTTTTATCGTGCTTAGGGTGCAAATTTATAAAACAGATTTGTTTTACATTTAACAGTCATGCTTTCACAGCCCCGATTACAGTCTCCAACCATTCAAAACTCTTCTCCCCACTTCTCCCTGTATCTACCCCCTCCCTGTGCTCTTCTTACCTGTGCGTTCCTGTCTGTCCAGGTTTCCCTCTATGTGAAGGCTGCCTCTCTGATGTCTCATGGCTGCTTGGTCTAAGGGGTGCCTCTCCTTAGAGTCGGTGGGTGCATCACCCTGGGGTAGATGTTCTGCATGTAGGTCTTTCTACTGTTGGGCTGAGATCCAGTCCATGAGAGTCAGTCCATTTCTACACCTAAGGATAGTCTCGGGGCTTCCACCAATCTCTACCCGGCCAGTAATTCTGGTCATCTTTGTGTTTTTGAATTTTCTTCCATATTTTTCTAGGATTCTAGTTTTGATCCCTTTCTGACTGGTTGGCATTAGAAGCCGGGCACCATCTAGTTCTTCTGGTCTCGGGGGTTGTGAAGGCTGAGGTCCTCATAGTCCATCATATCTTTAGACTAATTGTTTCCAAATGACTTTGATTTTCTTTGCTCTTCTTTGCTCCAGGCAAGAGGAGAACAATGGTTGGATCTTAGATGGCCCCTCGAAAGCTTTTAAGACCCCAGTTGCTACTCAATAAAGTAGGATGTAGAACAAGATATTTATGGTGGTGTAGTGACTAAGGCATTTGACTGCTAACCAGAAGGCTGGTGGTTCAAACCCACCAGCCACTCCTCAGAAGGAAGATTGGGCAATCTACTAGTGTAGAGATACTGCCTTGGAAACCCAAGGAGGGGTCGCTATGAGTTAGATCCCACTCGATGGCAGTGAGTTTGGTTTGGTTTTGGTTATGTTGTGCCAGTTGATCATGATGCCCCCGCGGGCCTGGTGATTCTCTCTCTCAAGGTATTTGGTTGTCTCTGAGAATCTACTCCAACCCTGTCCTCTTTTACTTCTGTAATGTATGTGGATAATTTTGTAGCACAAGTACATATGTAAGATTATCTTCAGCCAAATCTATCCTTGGTCTTGGGTTGGAGTAAATAGACTCTTTTTTTTTTTTTTTTTAGGGGAGCAGATGTGGAATAAATAGACTCTTGTGAGAGAAAGCTCAATTGAGAACTGAGTTTTTATAGGAAGTTATTTCTGTTTTTAATTTTTGGTGGTTTCTGGGACAGAAACCATTTCTGTGGCTTTGTCCTTGGCACAGCTAGCATAATGAGGTGAAATTTTTACC